CGGTCCCCGCAGGGTCGCCCCGGCCTCGCGGTCGGACGCGGAAAAGGCGCAGAGGCGCCCAGGCCCGAAGGGAAGACGGGACGCCGCCGTTCTTTGCGGGCGGCAGGGTCGTGGGCACAGAACCCCCCCGAAGGCTCCCCGGAAACTTAGAGCTGACACGTGACTTGGCAAGTTTGCGGGGCGCACGGTCTGCGGAATCGGCCGCGTGGCTGGGCAGCAACCGCGCATGCGCAGAAGCCAAGACACCGGCTCCATCGCGGGGGCGTCAAAATGTGTGAAATACCTGGAAGTAAGTTTAACCAAAGAGGTGGAAGATCTGCACTGTGAAAACTATAAGACACCGAAGGAGGACACTGGGCAGGATACAAATAAATGGAAGGACACACCTTGCTCACGGATTGGAAAGATTGATATTGTTAAAATGTCCTTACTACGTAAAGAATATGCAGATGCAGTGCAATCCCTACTAAACGATCACTGGCATTCTTCTCAGAGTTAGAACTAGTTTTAAAATTTATATGGGATGAAAAAAAGACCCCAAAGAGCCAAAGAAATCTTGAGAAAGAACAAAGCGGGAGCTGTCACACTCTCATATCAAATTATACGACAAAGCTGCAACAAGCAAAACAGTATGGTAGCATCATAGAAACAAATTATAAATCAGTGCAACAGGATAGACAACCTAGAAATAAATCCTCACTAATATGGTCATTTAATCTCTGGCAAAGAGGCAGAGATATACAATGGGGTAAAAACAGTCTTTTCAGGAAGTAGTGTTGGCAAAACTGGACGGATATATGCAAAAAATAAAATTGTACCACTTTCTTATTTCATATACAAAAATATTCCTAGAAGAAAAAATAAGACTCAGCAATATCTTTTTGGATATATCTCCTCAAGCAAGGACACAAAAGAAAAACACATTAACAATTTGGCTACATCAAAACAAAAAGGGTTTTCACAGCAAAGGAAACAAGTGAAATGAAAAGACAACCTACTAAATGGGAGAAGATATTTGCAAATGTTACATCTGATAAGAGGTTAATATGCAAAATATATAAAGAACTCATACACCAACTTAACACGAAAAAAAACCCGATAGTCCAATTAAAAATGGGCAAAGGACTGAATAGACATTTCTTCAAAGAGGGTGTACAGATGGCCAACAGACATTTGGAAAGATACTCAGCATCACTAATCATCAGGGAGATGCAAATTCAAACTACAATGAGATATCACCTCACACCTGTCAGAGTGGCCACCATCAATAAATCAAGAAATAACAAGTGTTGTCAAGGGTGTGGAGAAAAGGGAGCCCTCGTGCACTTTTGGTGGGATTGTAAATTGGTGCAGCCACTATGAAAACCATTATGGAGGTTTCTCAAAAAATTAAAAATAGAAATGCCATACAATGCAGAAATCCTGCTTCTGGATATTGATCTTAAAAAAACAAAAGCACAAATTTAAAAAAAGATACATGCACCCCTGTGTTCATTGTATCATTACTAGCAATAGCCAAGATATGGAAGTAACCTGGATGTCGACCAATAGATGAATGGGTAAAGCAGAAGTGAGATATATATACAATGGAATATTCAGCAATAAAAAAGAATGAAATCTTGACGTTTGTGACCACATGGGTGGACCTAGAGGGCACAGTGCTAAGTGAAATAGGTCATGCAGAAAAAGACAAATACCACATGATCTCACTTATATGCGGAATCTTAAAAAACAAAATAAATGAACAAACAAAACAGAAGCAGACCCCTAGAGAAAAAGCTTGCCAAAGGGGAGGGTGTGGGGAGATGAGAATAAAAAAAATAAAAATAAAAAAATTATAAAATATTTAGAAGAAAACAGGCAAAAAAATTTTAAGAAACTAGGGCTTCATGAAGACTTCTTAGACATTACTCCAAAAGCATGTTTCATAAAAGAAAAATCAGTAAATTGAACTTCATCAATATCAACATTTTTCCTCTAGGGGAGATCCTGTTAGGGGGATGAACAGACAAGGGACAGACTGACAGAAAATGCAAACTACATCTGGCAAAGAGATCATACCTAGAATAGATGAAGAACTCTTAATACACAAGAAATAATGAAATGACCCAAATTTTTTAAGGGCAAATAACATGAAGAGATGTTTCAATGAACAGGATATACCAGTGGCAAGCACAGAAAAAGAGTTCCTATCACTAGCCCTTAGGAAAAGGTAAACAAGACTACCATGCACTGTCAGCCTATCAGATACATACCTATTAGCTAGAGAAGCCAAGATTAAAAAATAGTGACAGCACCAATTGCTGGTGAAGATACACTGAAATTGGGTTTCTCACACATTGCTGGTGAGAATAGAAAAAGGAACAGCCACTTTGGAAAAGAGTTGGAGAGTTTCCTCAAAAACTAAACAGGCCTTCATCATACAGCCGAGTGATCCTGCTCCTGGGCCTTCATCCCAGAAGATCAAATGTCCGCACAGAGACCTGCATACCAGTGCACACAGCCATGTTGTTTTGTTTTGTTTTTAAATATATCTTCATTGATTTCAGAGAGGAAGGGAGAGAGAGATAGAAACATCAATGATGAGAGAGTCATCGATCGGCTGCCTTCTGCTCTCCCCCTGCTGGGGATTGAGCCTGCAACCCGGGCATGTGCCCTGACCTGGAATCGAACCACCATCTCCTGGTTCATAAGTCGATGCTCAACCGCTGAGCCATGCCTGGCCGGGCCATGTTCTTTGTAATAGACCAAAACCAGAAACAACCGAATTGCTTCGTTGGTGAATGAATGCACACACCGGGGTCCATCCACACCCCGGAAAGTCACTCAGCAGGAAGGAAGGACAAATGCACAACCCCCTGAATAGATCCCACGTCCTTCTGCTGAAGGAAGAAACACCCATCCATGAGGTCACATGCTGAATGACCTCATGTCCGTGACATTCTCACAGGACAGAAGCACAGAAGTGGAGAACAAGCCAGTGGATGGTGGGAGTCAGGGATTTGGGAGGAGGGCGGTGACGATAAAGGGAAGTGGGAGGGGGTCTTTATGGTGATGGGGCAGTTCCGTGTGGTGACTGCGGAGGTCCCTCCACAAATCTACACTTGACAAGATGACAGAGAGCCAGACACACACTGTACCGACGTCAGCTTCCAGGTTTTGATGTCATACTATAGTCATGAGTTGTGTGGTTCTGCGATCTTTGCAACCTCCTGTGAATTTATCATTATTTAAAAATGAAAACTCAGAAGGTGCGTCATCACCGCCTGACTATTTCCTGCTGGAATAGCAACCGTGAGCACTCACCCCCAATGTCTGGCCTCAGCTTTTTGTCGTATTCTCTCAGCAGCTTGTTGAGGATGAGAGTCACGTCGGTGTCTTGGGATTTGGGAGCCAGGACCCACTTCTGGTTGGATGATGCCCCTTCATCGTCTTCCTCCTCTGCCCTTCTGGACCTGTAACGATGGCACAAAGCATGAGCGTAAGTGGCACAGCAACTCCGGAAAGTGTCTCAAACACGGTGAGCCCCAGGACCCCTGAAACAGGGAGAAAGTCCCCAGAACCCTCATTCCAACCCCTGGATTCTCTCTCCAATTAAAATAAAATGAGACACAAGTTAGAAAGATTCATTAGGAAGAAGGATTGAAGGCATAATGCTTTCATTAAATGTCACAAAATGTTTTCATGTCCAAGGGAAACTGTAGACACTCTGATAAGTACATCAGTGCCAGACGGTCAACCAGCAGGTGCTCAGCTGTTCTTGAATCCACCTGGAGAACCACTGGAGGTCAAGGCATCAACCTTCCAGATATTTGTCAGACGGTGACTTTATTGGCCACTTCTACCCCCTCCACCCACCAAGACCTCATTTTAGCTGAAGGTGAGAACAGCCCTGGCCAGTGTGGCTCAGTTGGTTGGGCATCATCCCGTGCACCGAAGGGTCACTAGTTCAATTCCAGGTCAGGGCACATAGGTTTTGGGTTCAGTCCCCAGTCGGGGTGGGTTCAGGAGGCAACTGATCAATGTTTCTCTCTCTCCCTCTCCCTTCCTCTTTCTCTAAAATCAATTTAAAAAAACATTTAAAAAAGCATTTACAGATTGTCTGCACTGAACATAGTTAAGTCTGACTTCTGTGCTCCTCATGGACACTGGGATCTTTGGTCTAGGCCTGGGGACATCACGAGGTGGCCTGCTTTGCCAGCACTCAGGTGGGGTGACAAGGAGCAGAGATGTTGGTGAGCCCTCTGGCAATTCGCAGGCCTCTCACAACATGAACGGAATCATCTCTTGCAGAGAAGTCTAACTCGGACATTAAAAATTAATCTTTCTAATACATCTTCACCATTTTGGCCCCTTAGTAAATGAATGTTTGAGTGCCTCCAAGCTTGCTCTTTGCAGGGCTGAGCATGACAGCCACCTCTCCTGGCTCACTGGAACGGCGAGGCCTCCAAAGGACAGCTACTTTTCTTTCTTTTTGTCTTATTTCAGTTAAAGCATTTTTATTTACTAATATTGTAAATGTACAATCTCTATTTTGAAGTAGGGAGCCTTGCCTGTTGACCTTTTACCTTACCGGTATCATTGTCAAGGCTACTGTCACTTTATGGATGGACGCATGGAGCTTTTGGCTGCACATTATTATAATTTGAATTATAGCCCTGGGTGGGTGGCTCAGCTGGTTGGAGCATTGTCCTGTACACCAAAAAGTTTTGGGTTCAATTCCTGGTCAGGGCATATACCTGGGTTGCAGGCTGACTCCAGGACAGTGTGGGAGGCTTCCTCCCACATCCATGTTGCTGTCTCTCTCTTTTCTTTCCTCTCTAAAAAAAGTCAATCAGTAAAACACCCTCATGTGCACTCCTCTGATTCCAGGATCACCAAACATTTGTATATTTCGTTTGTTTCCCCTTTCCCTCCGGGGGAAGAGAGTGCTGATCGTGCTAATGTATTTTGATTTACAAAAGCTGGATTTGTCCCTCACATTCTATAGTCATATACTGCAATTTTGATTCTTTTAATTCCTTGAAAATTTAATTTTGTATGGCCCCGCAGTAATTTCCCTGGTTCTTCTTTATTTTCTTGTCTAACATTGGCAGACCCAGTGTATTGATAAAGTCCATCCAGAACTGACTTTCTGGAGCCTCCATGGATTCCTGTCATTGTCACCTAGGCGTCCACAGTACAACAGTTTTCAGAGTGACTGAGGCTGTCTCAACAACGCAGCCCTTCAGAATTGAAAAGGGGTGGGTCTTCTGCTGCATTTTCAGGCAGACGGCCCCTGGCCAGGGCAGGAAAGCTTGGCACACACGCAAACTCCGTCCCAGTTCACTGTGTAGTACGCTGTGTAGTTTGTCAGTGACTGGGTAGGAGCTCATTTCTGTTTAGCTTCCCAGGCAGGAGCCAAAGGTTAACACCATCTCAGGGTAGTTGTGCTCTGGGACATGTTTCTTTAAGTTAATTTTTGGCGTTTTCTGAATTATCTATAATGAACATGAAATGAATAAAAGAATAAACTTTTTAATGTTCGTTACCTCTGCTTAAGTTTTCAGAATCATAAATGTGTATGTATATCATATATATATGCATTAGTCTTTTTATGAGTGTTAAGGAGCCTTAACATAGACAGTGTCGTCTAGACCTGGGTGATATACACGTGATGTGAGATGTTGTTTTGTTAATTCTCACACAAGGATACTTTTCCCCATTGATTTTTTAGAAGGGAGGGAGGGAAGGGGAGAGAGAGAGAGACAAACATTGATGTGGGAGACACACATCAACTGGTTGCCTCCTCTCCCACCCCAGGGTGGGGGATCCAACCTGCAAGCCAGGTACTTGCCCTTGACGGGGAATTGAACCCGAGACCCTTCCATGCTTGGGCCAACACCCTAACCACTGAGCAACACCGGGCACAGCACATGTATGAGATTTTGACCATGAGTGTGTAGAATATGTCTCATAAGACTGAGTTCAAGTGTCTCCCAGGCTGATCTTAAACTGTCATTTTATTTCTTGAAGACTTATTGTCTAGAAGAATAAAATAAATCATCGATAAGAACTATAAATTGCCGTGGATTCTGATTCATAGCCAACATCCACCACCAAGAGGGACCTGTAAAATGTGCGACACAAAATCAGTAAGTGATATGCTACGAGTAACACTGTGGGTTTCTAAATGCCACTGTCAGATCATTTCTTTTGTCAGGAATATTAACTGTATCACTTTGGGGGGGGAGAGAAACAGTGGGTGAAACATGTTCTGTGGGACGTGGCTGGCTGGCAGTTTATTCTAGGGCAGAGGTGTTGGAAGGTGAGTGGAGGGGCAGTTGACCTCGGCCAAATCGCACAGCCTTCTCAGGACACGTGCAGCTGAGCTACAGAGCTTTCCTCTTTCTCTCTGCAGGATCTTCCTTCCCTCCCCTCTCCTCCCGTCCCCTCCTGGCTGCCCACCCCCACACTCAAAGACAGCCCCCCAGATCTTGCTGTCCGTGCTGTTACTGCCCCAATGGTCCTAAGGGCACAGACGGAGCTCACTCACCAAGACTCGTCAGTTCCCTGTGTACACAGCCTCGGTTCCTGAGAAACCCTTGGAGCTACTTCAGCGACAGGTATGAAAATGCGTCTCAAGTCCCTCTAGTGGCGACGAGAGGGCTTTCCTGACATTGCATAAGCTGCCTCCTTAGAGGCCAGGCCAGGTGAGAGTGGGGGAGGCAGAAAGTCAACGAAGCCGCCTTCTCTCCTGGGAGGTAAAGGGAGCCCTGGCTCTGGGGCGGGGCAGGGCTGGGCTGGCTGAGCTGCACGGGGGCAGCGATGCTCCTGCCCTCAGCCCCGCACCAGCTCCTCCCATCCTGATCCCATGTCAGTTTGCTGCAGAACTTGAGGGAACGAAACGGACGCCTCCCAGTGCTAATGCCAGCAGCCAGCCCCACAGGAAAACCCTGGCTTCGATGAGAACCACATGTCATCCCAGGGGAGCCACTGGAGTGTAGATAAAACAAAAGCACTCTGTTTCTCCAGATTCTGAGTGGTTGTGTATAATCTTTATGAGCTTTCTGTTGTTGGGACTGCTGGCTCCCAGACACCATCACTGCAATTCGCTTCGTGTTAAAAGCAAGCTGGTGAGGTATTGTCATTGTCACGTTGCTGCTCATCCTCAGATGTTTCCCTGTCTTGCATCTTTCCTTCAACCATCAGGCCCAGGATGAAGTCTGAAGTCCTTTAAGCACTACCAGGAGCTCCCAAACCTCGGGAAGCAGCTAAGCATCTTCCCAGTAGCCCCAAGGCCTAGTGTGACTTAGTGAGTTTCACTGTACAATCAGCTCATCCATGGGGGTCAGAGTGGGGCGCATGGCCCTGCAGGGAGCTGCCAGGCCATCGGCACAGGGCATACCTGTCTGTCACACCCTGTCCCAGGGCTCATCACTGGGGAGGCATTCCCAGTATGAATGAGACCCCGTCCACGTTAATAACAGCTCTGAAAGATCACACCGGACGTCAGATTGTTTCACATCTCTGTAAAACCCACTCAGAGAGCAAAGGCACTTTTTACCCCCTTTTTAACCCTCACCTAAGGATATTTCTCATTTTCTTTAAGAGAGAGAGGAAGGGAGGAAGAGAGAGAGAGACAGAGAGAGGAACATAGATATGAGAGAGACGTCAATCAGTTGCCTCCTGTACGAGCCCCAACTGGGGATTGAACCTGAAACCTGGGTATGTGCCCTGACTGGGAATCGAACCAGAAGCCTTTTGGTGGCCAGGACGATGCTCCAACCAGCTGAGCCACCCGGCCAGAGCCAAAGGCACTTCCGAACGAGAGGCAGATTTGAGTTTTTCCCGAATGCTGTGCAGCCTCTGTTGTGGAGGCCAGGGAAGTGCCAGACAGGCCGTACTGCAGTTGATATATCTGCCCTGGTGGAGATGGATGGGGTGCATGTGCCTTTGGCAGTTCCTAGGAGCTGGGCTGCTTTAGGTTCAACCACGTCTCCCTGCTGATCACATGAAGGGCATCAGGCAGCCTTCCTCCTGCACAGTCAGTGTCTCTGGATCCCCAGTCACCTAACCCCAAACTGCAGGTCACTCCTCCCCTCTGGTGGCAACAGCAAAGTCACGGAGACATGGCTTTGGATCTAGATACCATGACTTTGGGCCTGTCTGTTGTGCCTGGTGTTGTCTCCTGGGCCCCCCGCCTCTGGACAGAACCACATCCTGGTGGAATTAACCTCAGAAAGTGCACTCTCATCTCCCCCCAGCTCTGTCCTTAGATGGGAAGAAACTCCAGCTGAGAGGCTCCGGGAGTGTCCTGCCTGGTGGAGGGAGCTGCCTGCTGTCCCCGCACGGCACACAGTCTCCACTTTTAGTGTCCACAAGTGTTAGGACTGGAGGGCCAAGGCTCTCCTCCTCAGGGCCGAGCACCCCTGTCACAGGTGGGAAGTGAGACTTGGGGGCCCGTCACGTCGTGGAGGATCTGTGAAGGAGCCTTCGTGGTTCTTTCCTACTTCACAAGCATGAACGCAAATGCAAGACCTCCTGTGCTGCCTGCTGACACCTGCAGGGTTTGCGGCCCACAGGGACACTCTAGCTCCCAGATCCAGGTGATGAAGGTGTCCCAACAAGGGCGTTTGGGAAATGGGGTTCCCTGAGGTCTGGGGGTGGGATCGGGGGAAGAGCCAGGGAGCCACTCTGATTTCTAAAGCACAGTCTGCAGTCTTTGGACCAGTGATCTCGCCTGGGAGACAGAGTTGAAGAAGCCAAAGCATCTCTGGTCATATTTACAGCTACAGGGTTTAACCCTTCTGGTCCCACGGCCCCTCCATCCTCACGGGCCATCCTCACCCCTTCCTGGAGCGTCTCCGGGCTCCGCTTAGCTGGCCGGGTGTGTTCCCAGAGGAGGGCGAAAGGCATTTATTGTGGTGAGAGGATGTCCTAGCTTAGCAGGCAGCAGCCTTGTCAGCTCCAACCCGCCGCCTGGTGGGGTAGGGGTCTGTCCCCGAGCGTGCAAGCGGCTCCCCGGGGGCGCGGTGTGTGCCTGCGGGGCCTGGACAGGGAGGCCCTTCCCGAGAAGCAGGCTCCCCGCCGCGCACCTGGCCCGATGCTCCACCTGCCTCCAGCCGGAGGGACACCGGCAGCTGGGAAATCCTGACTCCTGGTCCCGGGCAATGGGAGTGAGGGCAGTGACCCCGAGTGCCGGCCAGTGTGTGTCAGACCCCGGAGCACTCGAGCCGGGGCGAGGGGCGTGCACGGGGGAGACACAGCCCCTACAGCCACCCCGGAAGGCC